AGTAAGATTTATTATCTCAGTCCGCGTAAAGTGCATTTATTTGGTATTCAAGATGAAGCAGTACGCGAACAAATTAACTATGTTCTCGATAAAAGACGAAATTATCGGCAAAGGTCTTAATGGTATCCTGAGCATGGTATTCAATGGAATTAAGAGATTGAATAAAGGTGAAAAGTACTTAAAAATTACTTGTGACAATGCTGGAGGACAGTATAAAAATAATGCTACCATTTGATTTTACCTGTATTTAGTAATTTGTGATTATTATGAAAATGTTGAATTAAATTTCATGATACCTGGACATACTAAATTTAAGTGTGATGGTAGTTTTGGATTGGTTAAGAAACTGTATCGCAAAACAACGGTAAATTGTGTAAATGATATTGTTGAAGTTGTGAAAAAATCGATACAGCTGGATTAAACAAGGCTCAATGTTATGACAACGGAAAAGGCTTTCAGTACTTGGATTTTAATTCCGTGTTGGGGATTTTCTTTAAGAATTTGAATGGGCTGCAAAAATATCAGCATTTTATTTTTAAAGCAACTAATCCTGGAGTTGTCAAAGCTCAAATGGTTGCTAATGGTGCTTTTACTGAATTTAATTTGTTAAAAACTAAAAAAACAAGTGTTTCTAAAATTACCAAAGAAATTAAATCTTTTTCCATCCTAGTACTAACCCCTCCTCCTTTGGATTACAAAAGGCAGGAGTATCTTTACCAAAACATTCGTGCATTTGTCAGAGATGAGTTTAGAGACATTACTTGTCCAAAGCCAGTTTAAATATTTTAAAAAAACAAATGGCCTATAAGTAAAGTTCTGTAAATGGAGAAAGAATTATTAGTTGGCTTTTCTTTAAATACTGGAAGTTTTACTACCTGCTGAAATTGAGTCTTAATTTTTATTAGCTAACAATTTGACTTTGATTTGTTTTTGGGGCAAAGAAGGTAAGGGCTTAGGAACTTGTTTTTCTCACCATTCCTTAATTTTTTTAGCAAGTATTTCTTTAATTTCTTTTTCTTTTCTGGCTTTTTCTTGCAATTCTTGGATGCCAGGCATCTTGATATTGATGGCCTCTTGAAGGTTAGCCAAATATAAATATTCTTGCTCCTCTTTTTCCAATTCATTTATATGTTCTTGACAATTAGCAATTTCTTTTAAGTATTCTTTTCTTTTTTTGTCTCTTTCAATTAATTCCTTATATGCCAGCTGTTGAAGAGGATGAGTATAACCAGCAGCTACCATTTCTTCAATGATTAAATTTAGTTCAACTGGTAATCCATTTTGAGAATAGAATTGTTTTCTTCTTAAATATTCTCTAATTCACACTGGCTGGTCAAGAGGCTTATTAAGTTTGTTAACTAGCTCTCATTGTCTTTTTCAGCTATTTTCTATAGACTCAGTTGCTGAGCTTTTTAGGCCCTCTCAGAGCTTTTTTAAACTGCCATTGTAATCAGCAAAGTCTTGGTATTCAGTATCACAGTAGGTTGCTTTTCGCTTATTATTTATGTTATTCGTAATAATAATAAGTATTTTTACAACTTTTCAGTTCAATTTTTATATTTTTTTATATAGGGGCAATCCTATATTAATTACATTATGGTTTATATTTATCAAATTCTGGTATGATAAAGTGAGCATTAAAATTAACAAGTCCATAAACACAATTATTACTTTTCAAAATGTCATCAGTCATACTGGTCAGTTTTACAGCCACATCACAGTCAGCCTCTCATTTATAAAATGCTCACTTCGTCTGGTTTTGTTGCAGCATGCCCCAATTAAGTATTAGTATTAGTATTGCCAAAAGACAGCTTTAATTTGGTCATTGACTATCATTTCTATATATGGTAAACTATAATTCGCAATACGGTAAGATTATTCCAACGTTAATTCGGACGCTTATTCAAATTCACTCCCTTTAATTCAAACTCTTAATAAAATCCAACCGTTCAAATTACAGACGAGTTTGATGGATTATCACAGAAGTGATACCGCTAAAAAACGTTACAAACCATATACTCATTTAACTGCCATACAAAAGAAGGAAATATGACAACAGGATAGTGATAACATTAATATTCGTGTAGACTATCAGTCGTTCGTAATCAAGTTTCATGTTATCATAGTAATAGTAAATAGGTTATGATCTTCCATCGAAAATTATTTTCCTCTTTTGTGCGACCCTAAATCGATTATTCGTCCAACCACGTTAATTCGTCCAAAACCCTCGGAAAGTTGGTGTCCGAATTAACGGAAGTTGACTGTATATCATTTTTGCGCCCGCCATTTACTGACGCACTGGTATATCATAGGGAAAATTATTATAAATTAAGTGGCTTGTAAATTTAGTGGGCGGTGTATACGAAGCTAAAATTGATAACCAAAAAAGACTCACTTTACGCAAAGATAAGCGCTCTCTCCAAAACCCAGACTGTCGATTGCAACAATATTAATACTATTATATTTTCTTTCTGTTCCTGGTGTCCTACCATATTAACTTTGTACCAGAAATTTCATACATTCTAATCATCACGTTCCTTTTTCTTAATCACAGAACCTTTTCTCCCATTACTCTAGATATTATTATATACATGAACCATGAAATCTGACATCTGATGCTGATATCAATATGAAATGCTTATTATTATGAATGCATGAGGTTACCACTACCAGAAAAAACAAATAGAAAAAAAGTAAGGCAATGCAGACAAGTACAAGAGAAAAAAGATAAACGTTTGCTACGCAGCAAGACTTTAGAACTACTCTTCCTCATAAATTAATCACAAAAACAGTTCAAAAATTACTTAATTACTTTTAACTCAAAATGTCTATTTTCACCAAAAATTTTATTGATCGGAATTTCCCTTGGCTTCATGCTTTATTGTAAACTCCACAAATCAGATTTATAGACATAACAATAATAAACCATTCGGCGAACAAAGTTACTTGCCAGACGTTGAAACACTGTTGAAATATTATTTGACAAACGGCTGAGCCGAATCCGCGGACTACGCAAAGGAAAAACATCGAGAAATAGCGGACGAAGACGTTAATAACAAAAAGGGTTTCTCAGAGCGACCAAAGAACAGGTTATATTCATTACGACTTTGCATTCGAGTATTTTCCTTTTACTATGACCAATATTTCAAGAACGATCACATTTTATAAACAAAGATAATCAAACTAGAATTATTGGTCGTCTTTGGTTATAATCAAACCAATTTACGTTTTCGAGTGCGACTTAGTATTATAAGTCACATGATCTAAATTTACAGAAAAGAAACTTGGGAATTCGACTGTAAAACTACGTGTAAGCAACTCCTTAATAACCGGCATACGCTATGAGCGCAACCACATCAGTAGAATTCACAGTGGGAAAGTTGGATGCAGGGATGGTGCGTACATTATCCTATGAATTGGAAGTTGAATTCTCCATACGACCAACCAACCCATCTTTTTCCTAAACAATAGGCAATTCTTCTGACTGAAGACCACCATCTTATAGAGTTCCCATCTCTTCTACTTCCACCGGGTGTGACCTCTGGAAGCATAGTTAACATAGCTGTAAACAGAAATCGGGAGCAAGAAGAAGCCCGGCTATCAGAGTTCTGGAGGTTACAGGAAGCCATTTTGACAGAGTACGGCAAAGAACCTCCAGCACCGCCAAAGTTAAAAGTGAAGCATATCACGCAAACTAGTGTATTGCTCGAGTGGGAACCTTTACAATTACAGAAAGCAAAGCTTAAAAGTCTCGATATCTACAAAAATGGTGTCCGTCTTTCCCAACATGTGCAATCGCTGGATATAAATTTTATAAAATTGAGCGGCTTAGAACTGAATACAGATTACGAGTTTTATCTTAACATGAAGACGACTGCTGGGAGCTATACAAGTAATAAGTTGACTGTCAAAACTCACACGTTGGATAATCTGACTGGAATCAATGTATGCTTTGGAGCATTCAGTGAGAGTGATGATGGAACCCCAAAGGTAGACGAATTGAAAGAAATAATTGAAAGAATCGGTGCTACATGGAGTGAACATGTAGGACCCGAGACTACTCATTTGCTATGCAACGTCCAAGGTGGAGTGGAATATCAACGCGCTTTGGATGGTAGTATACCAATAGTGAAACCCGAATGGCTAGTTGCTTCAGAGAAAAAGGGCAAATTGCAAGCTGCTCTGCCTTATTATTTAGTGCCTCAAGGAGATAACACTAATTCTTCATAAATCAAGTATTTATTAATATATCATCAAATGTTGTATATCTAGCGTCCATAGAATTGTTCAATCACAACATATTATTATATTGAACCGACGAAATGATCGGGTTGTCATGATGGGCTGGTAAACGGAAAAGTTGTCGTGGAGATTAGTCATTGACAAGTTTAATGAAATAATGTCAAGAAAGATTATAATTACTGTTCATAATTAAACATTTCCTCAGAACATAGAGAAAAATCTTGCACACGAGTTTCTTAAGGTGGGTAACGTTCGACCATCTATTTTCATTGTCTCTCTCTCTCTCTCTCTTTTTTTTTTCCTCTCTTTCAACACTCGTCCCTATCAGGAAATAAACAAACCATTCATAATGCCAAAATCCCATCTTGACAGAAATATGATTGAAATTGTTTTCCACCATATCGCAAAGAATCCATTTCAATTTTTATTGCAGCTCACCTTTATTTCACCAGTGGCCGAACATGGCCCGAATCGTCCTTACACAATCTTTCGTTGTATTTCTGCATCTCCTTCAAGTAAGCGTTAGCGTTCGGATCCAACGTCTCAGTTGCAGTTGATTTCTCAAGGTGTGGTCGTTTGGCTTCGGAGACACCGTCTGTGCTAACATCTAATCCGGGAGATTCTGTAGCTGAAAGTTTGCGCTTTCCGCGGTTTTTCTAATAAATATAAAATGATGTGGTGAGTAATTTAAGTAGTACATAATCGCAAAATAAAAAGGCAAACCAGGATTTCATAAATGAACCAGACTTACAATTCGGTCTTCAAAGGCTTTCTTTCTTCGAATTTCGTAATCGCATGAAGTTTAGCAATTAACAGATTAGCGTTGTTTAAGAGAAAGTACAGTCGCGTGAGTATTCAGGTAAACGATTTCCACAAATATCACTCAACGCATAATTTATTGAATAACTGATCTTATCAAGCGCACGAAACTTTATTGTTAATCTGGTGTATGGGCAATACAAGATGTTTTTATGACTTGGAGGAAAGAAAAGCCAGAAATAAATAGAAAGGACGAAACCTCAATAAAAGGAAGTCGGCACAAGTCGTGATTCTGGCACCACACAAACTCCCGCGGGTCCAAACTGCGTTCCCCATATCTAGTAATACTCAACCAACTTTCCGAGCTAGCGAACTCTCCTTCTCCCACTGAAGATTAATCAAATGAGACCTCCAGGCAACTACTCTACACCCATAGTGGCTTCCAGCAGTCATACCTATCCAAAGCCTCGAGCTGTTTCTTCTTTTCGTCTTCCTCAGCTTTCATTCTTTTGAAGCGTTCGAGGAAACTTCCATCATTTGAGAATATGTTTATTGCAGGTGTTGAGCTTGGTACGTTCTTTGTAGTTGTTGAAGTCGAGCTTCCGGTATTTCCTGAGTCTTTTCCCTGTTTAGCTGATAGTATGCCGTCCTTTTTGGTAGAAGATTGCGGTGTTGCAGTACTTTTGGTATTTTCTTGTTTCATGTCAGCCAGCGGGTTATATGAATAGCTATCGATATATGCACGTTAGAATTATATACCTAGTCTCAAGAGTGGTAAACGTTAGAACTTATACCGTTTGTCATGTGACACAAAACCGATTGGTTTTTTCTAAACTATTCTTATCAATGCAATCTATCTTGCTGTAGGTAACAGCATGCCCGTTACACATGCAAATTTGAGGCATTACATCCTATTCGCAACATTCCAGAGACATAATCTTTACAATTTACTAAAAATTGCTGAACCGGCTAAGAATTTGGCTCAAATTTGTAATCGAAAAACTAATTAAGTGAACATTTTTAATCAAGAAAGTATGCAGAATGCATTTATATTTAGATTTCGTTCATCGACCCAATAATTTTAATATTAGACTTAATTAGACAAAAACCGTTTGATTTACATCTGAATCCTCTTTTGACGATAACAAAGATTATTCAAACACGTAAAGCACATATTGAGCATCTTTATTGTTCTTCATGGCGGTATAACAATCAGTATTAGTAGAGTTAGAACTTATATTGTGTGAGACAATGCAAGAATATAGGTACTTGGACTAGTCGCGTGACAAAAAGTAACTAACTTGTGGTGCACAACGATAAGGGTTTCAAAAATCAATCACAGGGGCTGCCGACGTTTTACCATTTCACCCATGTTATTCGATTGCGTATTGGGCAATTAGTCATCGCACGGATGTGGTCCATCAATTAAATTGAACATGTCTTACAAATTGTTACGTGAAACCGACTTATCGAGACTGGCCGTGTATAATCTTTCCTATAAGCTTGCCCATTGTAGTATTGTGCTTTGACATTGTTTCAACCATTTGGCACTTTTTTCACTTCATAACTGCTATTATATCTAGTACCTTTTCGGCTTTTCACTTCATATCCACTTCATTCTCTAACTCTTTATCCTTGTTTATAAATCATTTTTTTTCCTCAGCGAGTAAATCCAAAATCTCTTCATAATTTCATGTTTTATCTCCAAAACTTTCCACGATATTTTCAAATTTTTTCTGGATAACTTATTCAACCCTTTATGTTGTCAGGCAAGTAAAATTTTAGTCTAAAGTTTTAAATTCTTAGTTCAAGTTTTCTTCTTTATCTGATAATTGTTTTTTTCTAATAATTCTTTATTTCTCCGTCTACCATGCTTTTTTTATTTTATTTATTCTGTTTATATATATACTTATTTTTTAATGAGGATATATGGAGTATATACACAGTAAATCTCGATACAGTCAAACTTTGTTATACCGATAGTAGCGTAATACGCAATATATTGATTATTAAATAAATTTTGAGTTTTATTGTTACGCATATCAAAATAACTATTAACATCGAGATGCTAAAATTTAGGAGTATTTTGGAAAAACTGTGGGTAGTAAACTAATGGTTTTCTTTGAGATAAGCAAACTCAGCAAGCGGGTTATAAGTCAAATGTTACGTGTTGGCTGTCTAAAACGGATTTGACACTTACGGTGGGATTCCTTTAATTTCGTCTTCCCTTAGTATTAGAGAGAGTGCGGGATACAATCAATCGTCATTCAAAGATCAACCAATCAAAATGTTTAAACTGATCCAAATGCAGTAGTAAATGCCCATGCATGTATCGTTATAAAGGTTTTAACGGGAGCTTATTATAGTTTATCGGTACAACGAGTAAAAATTTCTAAGTAAATTTTGGGAGCGAATTTTCTATCGTTATATGTAGAGTATCGGTATAACGGGTATCGGTATAATAATAGAAGTTTGACTGTATACGATCCGACAGCGTGATTATAGAGATAGAGAGGGTATCTGTATATTGTTTTAACAGGGGTATAAAGAGATCTTAAAATGTCTAGCTTCAGGGGATAGTAGTCTCACAAATGACATTGTTGGCTTAATAGGGGAGCGATCGATTGTCAACACCGAACAGTATTTAACTCGAGCTTACTGCATAGTTATACTTCTCATCTCAACATGGCAACATCATCCAAAAACGTCTTCGGAAACGGCATTCCCCCACGAGAAGGTAGTCCCATCCAACTTGTTAGATATGAGAAAAATGATTCTGATGAATTTGGAAAGATTCATGTTGTACCCGAAGCTTTGAAAATATTGCAACGAATAAAAGAGCCCGTAACAGTAATAGCCGTTGGTAAATATTGATTTCTATCCACGTTGGTCCTAAAATTGGAAAAATGTTGATTTCGATGCTATTCCAACATTAGTCGGCTCATACAGAAGAGGAAAGTCCTGGTAAGATTGCATTTACAGTATTTAAAATCGTAAATATGGGGTTTAACCAGTTAACTGGTTAAGTCATAGTTAATAGTCGAGTGGAATATTATAATAGCAACCAATTGTCTAAGCATTTTATTAAAATTTGTTTAGGTTCGCTAATGCATTGCATGGTCGACATGATGGATTTGAACTCGGAGCGCAAGTTAG